CGCTGTCACGACGAACCGAGATCTCGAGGACCGTCATGTCGGCGGCTGCTGTCCTCTTGCGGAGGATGTTGGAAGGTATTTCGGTCGCCATTTCTGTGGGATGGGAGGTGTAAATAGTAAAATAAAAAAAAGGAGTGACGAGTGGTATCCCTCAACAAAGAGTTCTGCTGACAAAAAGCGGCTGTGCCGAGTTGGTGTTATTGGTGTTGCCCTTGTGTCTTGCTTGTCCTTGCCAGGTAATGTAGAAGAGCCAAGATGAGATGGGGGCCGAGGGACGCTCAGACACCTCGATAAGGCTGGGCGTTGACCCGCATCAAGTCAATGGTACCGCTGTACCTGCATACCCACCAAGACTTCATTGGGCCAAACCGTACTGAGTACACGTATTGAGTTAGTGCTGGTTGCACAGCCCTATCTCATTCCAAGTACCTTAATTCAACCAGAGACAGTCCATCGCAGGGAGGTACTGCATAATGGAACATTGCTGCATCAGAGGTCGTGGCAGCTTGAGACCCTCAGAGATTGGCTGTCAAGCTTACATAGGCCTGCATCACGATACAAACGGCAGATTGGTCAAGAAATGACTGTACAAGCTACTGCTTGTATTCATCTTAGTGGTGTTGAATGCGACCCCTGCATCTAACCTTACCATTATCCATCACCAGTCTCCCTTGAAACTCCATGGTCGCGAATAGCGGCGAATAGCCGTCCCTCATTTCAACTTGGCTTCTTCTCAGGCATGAGTGGCATTTCTTTGATTCTCAATAGTCTCTTTGTGGTTTCTGCTACACGTGGCGACCAAACGCCGGCCCATGTATCCGTTCACCTCCATCCCATGTGGCTCTTCCCACTCGTTCATTCGCTTGCTTCATAGATAGATAGCCAGTAGCTTTCTATCGTTAGTCTTCTTCAACGGCCACATCCAAAGGGCCTCTTCCAGCTTTCTTCCTTCTCTCCGCGTAGCATTCGTTCCAAGCACTATCGATGATACGTGCTATCGCTTCTAAGTATAGTAGGCCGTGTTGTTCCGTATTATCATTTCCTGCACCATCGAGATATCACGTCATGCCTAAGAACTAGGCAGATCCCATCATGACGGAGGCTGAAGTACTCATACTCTTGCTGTTGCGACTTCCACTTCCAGCCAGGGACTAGCTCGCTGAACTGCCCTACGAGATGAACGCCGTTACCATGGTCTAGAGTGCCGAGAAGACAAAGAGCTGTATCGGCGGGTTAGTCACAGGTTGACATACAAAGGTGTGCCTCAGTTTCACTTACATTGTTCGTAGCTGCAATCGCAATACTGTCCTCAAACGGATGCCAGCTCATGTGCAGGATCTTCTTGTTGAAATCGATCTGGTCCGCGTCTGTCTCCTTACGCATCCGCTGGCCCTGACCACCTGGACTACCAGCTCTAGATCCGCCCTTCTTGCCATTGGTGGCAGTTGGGCTTGTCGAAGAGTTGATTGGCGTGGGCACACCAACCTTCTTAGCCTTGAAAGCCGACTTGTCCGCCTGAAGGACCACCTCGACCTCCTTGTCAGGGTCTGAAGGATAGATCATGAAATTGTTGTTATAACTGCCCGTCATAACATTCTTCGCATCGCCAGAGAAAACAACTTCAAACTTGTCGAATATACTATCGTTCTCGTATGTGTCACACAATCGTGGCCGGAGATGCTCGTGAATTGGTATCGTCTTCACAGGCTGTCGCTCCATGTTGATATCCCAAATCTTTACGGTGAGGTAATCGCGAGATAAGATGTATCGACCGTCATGCGAGAATCGGACATCGGAGATAGAGGAGATGATTTCGGAAAAGAAGGATCGCGAAGAGGGGTCTTCTTCCTGTTCGAATACTACGAGTAGTCAGTAAGCTTCCAATTATACAAGTTGTCGCGATTTGGGAGCACAAACGTTTCGCGTGCTGGTCGCATAGAGCACTCTCCCGCATATCGGCAAGCTTGATGGTACCCTTAGAACTGGCATACATGAACCAGTTGCAGCTCATGGGATGAAATTCGGCTGCTGTGATCACTTCAGTGAGTTCCTCCATATTGGCAGGCTTGATATCAACAATGTTGAAGCTCTGGTCCTGGATATTGAGGTTCCAGAGGTTAATCCGCAAGTCATCACTGCTGATGAAGGTCTCTCCGTCGCTGTTCACCGAGATGCTGTTGATGTGATAGGCATGTGCGTTGGCGTATGTCCGGCGCGGCACGGCGGCCACCACTGTGTCATGATGTGTGAGCCGAGGCAGCTTTAGGTCGGCGGCGTTCTTAAACTGATGAGACGGTAAAGGCTTGGGAGCACCGCCACCACCTGCAATGCTCCCAGGAGTTACATCGTGAGAGAGGTTGTTCTCCGCCACAACCTTGAGCGACTTCTCGAACACCTTCCATAGCTTGATTGTCTTGTCGTTGGTGGACAACAGATAGTGCGAGGCGTTTTGTCGCCTACACCACTTTATCTTGTTGATCTTTTCCTCGATTTCAAGGGACTTTAAATAGTCGAATTCGGGCTCATGAGACTGAAACTCGGTGTGAAATTTGTACTCGCAGGTTTTTTTCTGCATCAATGGTCAGCGTCAACAGTAGGGAGTGCAGCACCAAAGATAAGCGGCACACAAAGACGTTCGGGAATGGTGACGTACCGTCTCGTTACGTTCGAAGAGCACTACTCTACCTCCCTTGTCGCCAGTAGCGAGATAGTTTCCGGTATGGTCGAACTCAACCGTCGAGATGATATCAGCTGTATCAGTGCGTGGCGGTTAGTAACCATGACGGAGAACTGGCTCTGAAGTAGGTAGAGGGTGGTGACATACCTTCGGTGATGTCCTCAACATCGCCCTTGTCACCAAAGCACCTGCACACGACAGCTCAGCTTCACCTTCAAAAACACGAAAGGAACACAATAATGGATTGAGAAAGCTAACGTACTGCGTGAACTTCCACGTGGGCGAATTCGTCTCGCTATCGACCATCTTGGTGAGCAGCGAGGGCGGGGGTTAGGAGGGGTTGTGGTTGTTGATCGAGGGAGGCAAAGGTCAGAATCGATAGCTGTGGATTCGAATGGCGGGGCCAAGGCGGAGGTGAGGATTAATCGGAGCCGATAACTTGGAAACAGCGAAAGTAGTTGATATTGGCGAGTCGAGGCGACGCGAAGGGAGATGGGTGGATGATGGAAGCTACAACGGCACACGTCTGGTCTGCTGTTGCAGTGGGTGTTAGATGGCGTAAGGTAAGGTATGGCAAGGTAAGGTGGTGGTGAGTGGATGGGCGGTGGTGTCGTTTCTGGATATCGTCTTTTGTCGGCGCCGCAGTGGGGTCTACCAAGATATGCCACCGTAATCTATAGACGTCGTCCAAAATTATTTCCTGTCGGGCCGCAGGGAGGGATATCGGAGGCAGGACGGCGGAGGGTTGTATGATGTTGAGAGGTGGGCAGGCGTCCAAGGCTGAAGAACAATGGTCGGGTGGTAATGGTGGTTGTGGTGGAGGTAGGCTGTTCTGCTTTGGTTTGGACGTAAATGTGGATGTGGATGTGGATGCGGGCGAGGAGCAGAAGCAACGGAGGGCGGGCCAAAGAGATGAGGGAGGAGACAGTGAGTGGAGGGAGAGCGCTCTGGAGTCTGTGCTGAGCTGCGCTGTGCTTAGTTGGTGAGCTGCACTGCACTGCACTGCATTGCGCTGGCGGCACAAGACTTGGCTACTGTAGGCAGGGTAAGGTAAGGACAGCTAAGGTAGGTTTGAAGCTACCTATGTTTAATTAGATGCAGTATGTATTATTATGTCCGAAATCGATCGAGTTTCGTGTTGTTTACGTACGGAAAGGTTTCGCTGCAGACAAGACAAGTTCTTTGTGACGAGAACATATCAAGAACAAGATGAGATGGGCAGTGACGCGGAAGAAACAAAAGTCAAGCTGCTTTGATCTGATCCAGTTCGATTTCGGGTTGGCCTGGCCGGGCCTGGTTTGGGCTTGGCTGGATGTTTGATGGGATAGGACGGTTTATGGTGGATCCCTCAGGTTTGGGTTTATTCTCATGTCAGGTTCCCCTACGCAGGTGATGTTGCAAGAGAACTGGACTTCCAGTAAGAGTCGAGCAACAGCTCAGAGCTGAGTTGGCACTTAGGTACAGAAGCCACAGGAGAGCTCCAGTGCTTCGTTGCCTGTAATATTGGCTTTGCTCCAAGGCTAGACGCCACCAGCATACTAAAATCGATGACGGGACTTAACGTGCCCGGATGGGCTGCTTCTGTTTGTGAGGGGTTACCTACTGACCCCAACAGCTCAACCCATGGAAGCCCAAGTTTATCTTAATGAATTTCTGCACAGGTCAGAGACGAAGCTCTAAGCTCTGCTAGCGACATAAGCTTGAGCTAAGCACGTCAGTTCTTCAAGGTGAGGCTGCATAAGAGATCAAGCTGATTGATAGGCCACTACGCTGAGCGTTTTACGCAAGTTACGTCTACCTAACTCCATATATCAAATCAAGCTTGATGTAACAGCGGGGTATCCCTGGATGATTTGACTTAGGTATCCAGATAATCAGCATAACCAGCACTGGTGGTGGAGTATAGAGCGCGTTCCCTTCTGATCTCATCTGGAACATCACATCATTTCTCATTCAAGGTATAACCTAGGCAAGCTTCTTAGCTCGATTACATTTGCAAGAGCCGTTTCAGTGTCGGCTCATGAGGGGCATCGGGCGTTAACCCTTCTCGGAAATCCGGTGCCAAGCTCCAGGCCGATCGGCACCCGCTCATCCGCCCGGGGCCGTTTTGACATGTGCCCCCGGTTCAACTTCATCGTGGCTATTTTATAGTTTAATCATATCCTAGACGTCTTCAGCGAATGAACCGAATTGTTCATCGACAGTCTTCCACAACTTTTCTACCAAGCTTTATTCCTTCAACTTATCTGGCGAGGCACTCAACTCGTAGCCTCTGCTGCTGGAGCAATAGCTACTGATGCTGCTCGGCTAAATATTAACAGCCATGGACAACGGCAACAGACAACCACCGGGAGCACATCAAGAAAACGATACATCTGCAAAATCGAAAGGAAAGGCCATAGATAATGGTGCTGGAAACTCTGACTCTATCACCAGCCGACTTCAGGCTTCTGGCAGGCTTGCTCTCAATGCTTTCGGAACGGGTCCAGATATAAGTGGCCAGCGGCCAGGCGAAAAAGCTAGCTCCAGTGGCGGCAGCAGCAACATTGGGAGAAACTCATCTAGTACGGGAGAAGCATCATCGCACAGGTTGCGCTCAACAACTCAGGGTGAATCGCTACGCTCACAGACAAACTTGGATTCTGGAGCATCATCACAAGCATTTAACGCCTTCATCAGTGCCGACTCTACGTTGGAGGTTGAGGATGCCAGTCAATATGGAAAACTCCCAAACCAAAGTCACAATATACCATCTACGCCAAGCGCTGTTCTGGAACAAGAGAAGATGGATGGCGCTGCTGTAGTCAACCTACTCGATGGTCCATCCGGGGAACTTGACGGTGTTTTGTTTGGAGCTCATGGTCCAGATGCCGAGGATGAAGGCCTTACACCAGAAGCGGCAGCCAAGCTGAGAGAAGCCCTATTCCCTGCAGATCTGGTTCCCTCTGGCTTTCGCTGGGATGATTTACTCAACTTCAACCCCGAGTTTCTTGATCAGTCGGGTCCTGAAGCAGATTTCGAACGGCAGCTTCACTTTGGCACAACGAGTGCCGACGAAGCGAGAAATAGTTACCTGGATCAATGGGACAAGGTGCTAAATGGGTATACAGAGTATGTATGGGGGGATATAGAACCTCTCATAGCTGAAGCTCGAAGAGAAGTTGAAGAATCCAAAACTCGAGGTCCTGATGCCATGCCTCAGACAAAGGCGCTGGATCGGCTACGACAGATTCTTGGCCACGTCCGAGGGTTTTGAAAGACTTGAGTTACAGGTAGATTTCAATTTGCTTTGCTCGAGGTAATAAACATAATTGGGGCATGATAAATTTATAGGAACATTAAATTCGAAACAATGGCTTTTGTGAGGTTAATTGATCGAGTCAATTCTTAGCCTGGTGCAACTTAAGGGGTTGCTCAGTCAACAGAACCCCATGACATCATCCCACGCTGAGTTGAGTGTCAGTCATGTTGTTGCCCAAGGAAACAAGCTGAAGGTGGTCTGCTCACTGCACAACCTTGCACTTGCGACGGTATGGGTTAAGCCTTTTGGTTAACGACCCCACTGGAATCGTCTTAGGTCCCTGACTTGGAGGCTGGACCTGGAAGCTGACAAGGAAGAATAGACGAGGGCCGGGGAAAGGATAATAAAAAATAAAAAAGAGAGAGAGAGAACACGAGACGACGATCTTATTGGGGCTTTCCTTTGCGAATCAACCAACACTCGCTGTTCCTCGCATGCTTAACCGACCTGCAGTAGAACATCTCAACGCCTCAGCCTCGTTCTCGCAGCTGAAGCAAACCATCTTTAGTTCGCTTGCTCTCAACAACCACCATGCTCAGCTATAGTTGTATCTGGCTCGGCCTCGTTGCAGTCTCTACATCTGCTCAGAACATTCCTCAAGTAGAGGCAATAGCAACGGCAGTCTACGCCCCGGCCTACATTCCACCTGCGTCGGTTATCTTTAGGCGGGACGACTCATGCCCAGCGAACACATTCCGATGCTCTGAGGAGCTTGGCGAGAGATTTCGCGACATATGCTGTCAAAATGGCCAAACGTGTGCCGTAGACGCCGACGATGAACCGGCTTGCTGTCCGTCTGGGTGAGTGCCATTCGAAACTCCTCTTCCTTTTCCGAAGAACGAATTGACCGCTAACGATACCAAGCGCTGTCTGTACAGGTACAGCTCCAGCCTCGGCTACTGGCGAACCAACCGCTGAAGCGTCTTACGTCCCGAACTCATACTTCGCCTTCCCCTATGCCGCGACGACCTTCTCAAACGAAGCTGCATGCACCTCAGCTGTTGATGCCTGCGAAGAAAACTACGATCAATGTGTTAATTTCCTTGGAGATGGAGGCCAATACGGTGTCACTATCGTCGTACCTGGTGGCGGAGGTACAACAGTTCAGGGCGGAGGACAGGCTCTGGGCTCGTCATCGGCAACCGCAGTCTGCTCCAGTCTGAGCTCTCGTGCTTGTAGAAACGTTTCCAGTGATGACTGCTCGGATTACGGGAACGATGCTTCATCTTCCAACAGACTAGTCATGTGGTTTATGGGTTTCGGGGCATGTATCGCCATACTCAACGCCCTGATTTAGGTGCCGAACAAGCTGGTTCACGACTCGATACGACGATCGCGGGCCTTGAGAAGCACGAACGCTGGTGCTACTGTATCAGAATTTAATTTAACACCCTGTTGCTGCTGAGGAAGACACATGCTTGCCTCGATGCTCAAAAGGATATTTGCGCTCACCAGAGCGAATGACTGCAGTTACGACGCATTTTATGAATGCCCCAAGTTGATAGGGCTTGGGATTATGAAGCGTGCTTATCACATTATATATAAGATCTGAAATCGGCTTATGCTGAATGACTGACTGGCGCTTGATATTGGATGTATGCATGTTTATGGTTTTGTATATAGAAGAATACTGCAACAAGCATCCACCTGGCTGGCCATTCGGTCTTGCGTTGGGTTTAACCACTATTATTCTTTCGCCATGTATTGCCTATCCTCTTTCCAATCTTGGCTTTGAGATTGTTCATTGAATGAGCAACCGAGTTGTTTGCTTCACTATTTAAACATTCTCAAAACTCATTGCAAACGCAACATAGCCCTCAGGAGCTTCATAGTGGAAAAAGGTACGGCCTCAAATATTCCCATGAAACTGGCACCTCAAGCTTCCGTCCATATAATAAGTAGAGGCTCGACAGGCTCTGCCTAAAGTTCATGACATTGCAGAAGCCGACCGAAGCAACCATTTCAAACACAATGGTCTTCAATCTTCGGGTAGTCAAGTTCAATTAGGTCCTAGAAGCAATATTAGGCTTTACTAACGAGTTTAAATGAATATATTATTTACTTTGCGTCAAAGACCTTGATGGAATCATAACGAGAAATAAAGAAAAGTGATCAACCATAGCCCTCTCATAGCACCCGCGAAGTCGTCCCCTCATAGTTCGATCTCATATCGACTCAGCAACAGCAGGCTCAGATATTAGGCGATAGTATATCCTCCAATATCTCGATTATAGAACCCCTCGTATGTTCTTCCTCGCTCGAGTCAGCCTCATCTTGGTCGCCGAATGTCTCGCTTAGAAATAGCCGCGCAGTCATCTCTGCCTTCCCAAGCTGTTCTTCCTCTTCTCGAGAAAGGCGGGCACAAACCGCACTCAAGTCTTCGTTTCGGGCCAGCAACTTGGAAATGTTTTCGGCACGTTCGACGACTGCGCTTGGCACCCCATTCAAAGCTGCACACCTACCTCCAAAACTCGATGTGCTATGGCCATACTCAAGGTTGAAAAGAAAGGTCACTTGATCATCAACAAGTGATGCATCCCAATCCATTCTTACATTCATGTGCGCAATGCGTAACCCATTGTGATTTTCTAAATATCCACACTCGAAAACTTCATGAAAGTGAGTGGTAGCAAGTAGACGAGGGCACTTAGGTCCGAGAGATAGGTAGTAGTCCAGTAACGCGGCCAACAGTCCGGCACCATCGTCGCCATTGGTCCCTTTCCCGAATTCATCTATCAGGACGAGGCTTCTGGGAGTTGAGGATTTCGTTGATAGAGCAGCTTGTTTCATGTCTCTTGCAAAAGCGCTCTCGCCTCCAGACATGCTTTCCCGGGGAGACATACAGGTCAAGATACTTTCTGTAAGACCAACAGTCGCCTGAACTGCCGGTACAAAACTGCCAATGTGTGCAAGATACACAATTATGGCTGTTTGTTTCAGATAGACGCTCTTCCCAGAATGATTTGGCCCAGTCAGCACCAGAGCCTGAGGAGAGCCATCTTGGGCCGCCCTTATGTCTGATGTCCCCGTAAAGAGATGGCAGGGGTTTGGGATAAAGGCTGGCACAACAAGTTCCTGCAAAGGATGGCGGCCTTCTTCAATGTGAATAATGCTTGCTTCCACCATTTGTGGTACATGCCAATCGTACTTTTTGGCACCAAGGGCAAGGGCATGTATTGCATCAAACTCACCACACATGTCCGATGCTAGCAGCAGAGGCTCCTCATGCTCCAGAACTTTACCTGCAAGACCATGTATGATCTCTACCTCCCGATCTGCCATGCGTGAGTTGAAGTCTTCAAAGCGCTCCTGGCAGCAAACTTACCTCCAATCTGGCAATACATGTCTCCATACTCCTCGTCTAACTCTCTCATGTAGCTGTTTTTGTAACACACTGCACCATCCGTAGTAAACAATTTTTCCCAGGCCCCAACAGCTGTCCCCTCTCCTTCATATTGTCCGTTACCTGTCAGAGGATTTGATTCCACCACAGTGAGAAAACCTATTTGTGGCAGAAAAATGCATGATCGAACATACTTGCGTGCCCATTGTGGTAACTCCCGATTGACTTGGTTAACAACTTCTGTCAGGAAGCTGTCCATCCCGTCATATCGTCTTTTGAGTTCGTCAAGTTGAGGATCAATCCCGGTTCTGACGGAGGATCGGCGGCGTGCTTTGGACTGTTCAAAATCGATTGTTTTGTTGATCATGTCCCCAACAACTACCAAACTGGCTGGTTCAAGAGTATGAATGAGCTTGGTCAACATTATTAACTTAGATCGGTAGATCGATTATTGTATAAGCCACTTACTTTCTGGAAGATCACTATATCAGAGCCTCCATTAAGCAATGCAATCATTTCTCTAAGCGTCAGAGCTTGGGCGGTAAACTTCTGGATTGTTGCCCATACGCCCCTGTCAAAAGATTGACCAGAAGAGGGAAACTCAATACCTTTTCGTAGCTGCGCTAACGTGTTGCGCATGTTTCGAATTTTGCGTAGGGTCGAAGTCAACTGTGCAAGTTTGTCGGCGTTGTCTGGTTGAAGCAATACTGCGATGGTCCTCTGCCTCTCCGAAATGATGTTGAGGTCCAATAGGGGTCGGAGGAAGATTTGACGGAGTTGTGCACGACCTTGAGGGGTACAAGCCAGGTGATGGAATAGTCCGTATACTGAAAGACTTTCTTTCGAATTGCCCTTGTTCGCATCTGGTCCCCACGCTTGGCTATTGGGGTGCAATTCAGTCTGCAGAATTTGTAGTGACAAGAGAGCGTCAGCACTTACATACATGTAAGTCTTAAGGGAAAACATGCGGATGCCAGCAACACGAAAGAGAACTCCGGCAACTTGTCCATCAGGGAGAAAACCAGCGGAGCGTCGACGAAGAATATCGCCAAGTAGGGCACCCGCACATCCCACCTGAAAGGCATTAGCATTTCAGTAACAATCCGAGAAGTTTACACTTACTGATACCTGGCTATTCATGTTTATACATCCTCCATAGCGAAGTTGACGAAATGCATGTGATTCAGGCTGGGAAAGACCTGGTATGGATTCTCCGCTCCCATCATCTTCAATACCTGTGGAGAATACAATACCAGTAGCAGACAAGGCTTGAGAATCCAGGCTAACAAGTCGTTCTTGTGCCATTTCGGTCGAAAACTCTGACGACTGCAAGCCACGGAAAATGACCCCCCCTGAGGCATCTGTGCATGGCTCTTGTCAGTTGCTCGGCCTACAAACTGAAAGATGAATCTATTTCCGCTGACCTGTCGACGCAGTAATCTTCTCCAGATGGTCCCGGAAACTGGCAGATGCTCTTGCAGATACAAGAAGGCTGGTCGGTTGAATGTGGATAAGGAACTGCTCCATAATGTCTAGTGAAGCCGTAGCAATATCTTCAGATACATGGAGAATCCCGTCAGTAGTTGAGAAGTATGCGCACCCGATGGTGGAATTCTGTTTGAGGTCAATGGCCATGACAACTTCATGTTGAATGGGCTCGCTGCTGCTTCGAGCATGAGCGTTGGCATTGGGCGTCTGCGGTTCTCGTGGGTCTGAGTATTGTTGTTGATTCTGGGAAGCAGGACTGAAGCGGATTGATGACGAAGGATTGGGAGAGGATCCATTTCCGTAACGATCTGGAACTGTAGTTCTTGATCGAGCTTGCGGCCGTGTTGAGCCACCTCTGGAGGACGAACCAGCATTGTTTCCGTGATTATAAGTGCGGCCCCTCCAGCCTCTACCTCCTCGCCCTCGACCACGGCGAATCAAGCTAGAAGAACTAGAGCCTGGTGTCCTAGGCATATTGGCCGAGTGGGTTTAATCGGCTCGTTTCTGGAAGATCAGAGGAACCTGCGTGCATTGTAAAGAGAAGGATGGGTCTGCCGCACCGTGCGGTTAGCAGGCATGGCAATCGAGGAAAGATAAGTAGTGACCTTCCGTACTTAAGGTACCTCAGGTAGGTACCTTACCTTTTATTACTTCAGTTATTTCCCAATGCGTTGGAAGTTTCGTGGCAGCCCTTTCCTCTTTGCCTTTGTCATCATGGGAAGGAGCGATACACATGTGGCAGGAACTCGATCGCATATTGAAGCGCAGAGAGATCCATGGACGAACGAGTATTTGCGACACGTGCCAAGGCATACTTTTGAATATTGTTCTTATCGGTGCAAATGGCTAATACAGTATTGACTGCGGTCATACAGGTAAATGAATAGACTTTGTCTGGCTCTGCAGGCTGATCGCTCGTCATCTTTATTGAGAGTCGTACAAACTTCTGAACACTTCAGGAGTATACCGTCAACAGCGCTTCAGTTTCCCAAGATCGAATCCCATCATATCGATACGGGTGTGATGTCGTCCATCGTAGGTGTCCGAGCTTTTGTCATCACTTCTCGTCAGCCTTGACCCAGCTCGTAAATTCACGTCGCTGCTTGCGAATGTCGATGAAACCAGGTCTCGTCTCAAGCACATTGAAAGGGTTTCCGCGGTAGTCCTTTTCCACCTCGCCACTTCCTGTTTGGAAACCAGCCTCTCCTTCGCGCTCAATCTTGCCAGCCCATTCGTGCCACTTAATTGGTCGAAGCTTCGGAGTTCCCAGAACCAAGCCCAGAACGATGGTCAAGGTCGCTACCAGTGCTTCGATCGATATGTCAATTGGGAGTGAGTGTGTTGCAAGCGGCTGCGGCTGGCCATGATGCACCGCCGTTGACGAGATGACGGAGTGCTCTTGCGCGGAGTAGCATCTGGGATGATTGTCAGTTTCCTGCGAAAGTACCAAGAATTGCCGAGCTTACGCATGTGCTAAGAGGACTAGACCAGTAACGGTCACTGTTTTAGAGATCCAGGTCATCCTGCGTTGGAATCAGAAAGCTTGGTCACAGTTGCGATGAAGTTGGACGTCGTTTTGGGGACAAGTCGCGGCTCCCAGGTGTAGACACGGGTACTAGCATCTAATGACTAAGCCTACGCCATTCTCCACCCATGCACACGACAACATCAGCAGCTTTCACATCCAAATGATCGAATTACAAGTTCAGATTGGAAAATACTAGTTATGGTGCTTGCCAAAAACTTACAGTTCCTTTCTAAGATACCCATAAAGAAAACCAAGTCTAAGCCAAATCGCTCGATCCAATGTATGATACATAGTAAAACACATGAGGAAAATTGCTACAATTACATGGCGATATCATGTTGCCGTTGATCACTGGAGTCCCTGCTCGGTCTGTGCATACCAATCCTCGAAGTGACCAGGTTCGTCCATGATTTCGACTTTCCAGTCATCTTTGTTTCCCTTCAGGTACGCGTCTTGTGCTGTAGTATCTTCATAACCACCCATGATTGGCAACAAGTCTTGACCACTTTCCATGTGAGAAACCCAGCCCTCTTGGCCAAAAGGGACGCTGGCGGGAATCCCATCATAAATATCGTACTGGGCAGGTCCGAAGAAATGGGGAGCGGCATTGTCAAAGCTTGACCCAGGTGGTCCGTAGTAGTTGGCGAATCCATCAAGCCCGTGTACAGGGTAGTCGATGGCACCAGGAGAAGGGGTTCTACTGATTACTTTGTTGTTGATGTCAAGACCGCTGTATTGATGAATGCCCATGTCATAGGGACTGGGCGTGATATCATCGTACGACAGTGAGTGAGGCCGATCCGGAGCCGGGTAAGCATACATGTCATGGTAAGATGGCATGGCTGGCTCTCCGATCGCAATACCCGCAACATCGTAGGCGACTGGTGTCTCGCTCAGTCGTGTAGCATGGCGGAATCTGGACTTTCGAGCTGCACTTGAAAGACCACGTCCGCCGTTCCATTCTGAGTCGTTGTCTGAATAGTCGTCATCGCCATCCCCATCGCGTTTGGCCTTTCGTGGCTTGGAGGGTGTGAACTTATACCCTGGATGTGCTCGCTGATGGTTCACACGCTCTATTCTGGCCCATTGATCATAATTCTCCTTGATGTGTGTTGGCTCCAAAACCCATGCAGCACCGCAAACTTTTGAGACATGCTGGTGGTTGTTCTGAGAACATTGCGTCTTAGCGACTTCCTGATATGCCTTTCGGTATAGCATAAAGGCATTCATGGGACGTTTTATCTGACCAGCCTTTTTGTTACGCGAAGTTTCAGACAGTCTCTCTTCAGTTGACCGATTGACAAAGGCCTCGATGTCAGCGACGTGTATATCGGGAAAGTCTCTGGCAGCTTCGGAAAGCGGCTTTGAAAGTATGTTGGAAGCATTCTTGGCTTTCTCTGCACGGCTTCTCTTCTGAACTCGACCAGTTTTAACTGCTGGTGATCGTGCGGTGAGCGATTTCTTAGCGATATTCAGACCACTGCGAGTGGTGATTGCATCACTAGATGGACAAGGTGCTGAAGGTGATGATTCCGGTGTGTATGGGAGATGATTCTGCTTCGCCAGTTCAGCTATTGGCCCTTCCTGTGCTCTAGTGCAACCTACATTGTAGCCGATCTTATCAGGTAAAGGACCATAAGGATTACTGGTGATACCTAGACCCCCAGAAAAACCTTGCTATTGTCGGAGGTTAGCTATGATGGCAGCCAGCCTGGGCCTGTTGCACTTACAAAGGAAACATCGCTTCTTTGTGAATAGACAGTTGATGGCTCATACACAGACGAGTCGTCGTCACGGACAGGAGTAGAGTATCGAGTCGAGTAAGAGTAGCCTGCAAAGCTTTGTTCTGGGCTCATAGAGCCTTGAGGGTGCGAAGTGTGTGACTCCATCATGGCCACTGGTTGTTGAGAGAAGCCGTCAGAAGAAGATGGCGGAGTTGGAAGGATCTGTTGCAGCATGTCGCGAGTCTTCCGCCGCTCTTAGGTATTGACTTTGGCCAGAAACGGGACGGGAGGATAGAGAAGAGTCCTGTATTGTTGTTGTTGTTGTTGTTGATGGGGTTAACGAAACGACACAGGTACGATAGCGAACAACGGCAAGTGGACTTTGTAAAAAGCACAATGTAGATGAAGAGATAAAGTCTGATCTTTTGACAGTAGCTATGTTGGTCTTAAGCGACCTGAAGATAGAATGCTCAGCAAGGTCGTCTTTGTCGGGTTTCTTTGAGCTGCCACATGTGGTTTTGTATGTGCTTGGGGCATTCTGATATCCTAGATATGTCTACAACGCCAGGACCATGCCCACAAATAGACAAGCAACGACCTGATGCTCCTAAGTTCAAAGAGACCGAGGAGACGACTGTCCTGCTGGGAAACAGACCGCAATGCGGACCGTTACCAGAGTGGTAGTCCTCTCCAAGCTGCATTTACATGTGTCGTTGGCCGGCATCCTCCACTCTCTGCCACCCACCACACAGCGCCCGGGCCAACATGGAGAAGCACAGATAGAACAGAAGCCCTATGAGCTTAAGAGATGGGGCCGCTTGGCGTCCAGCCGCAATCCATTCAATAGAAACAGAATGTCATATTTTTGATTGTGCTTCCCCGCGCCGCCTTATTCGCATGCCGCTAGTTCAGCCACGGCGCATTCCTTTGATGTGTGCATCCGGTCTGGCTGTCATCAATTATCCCAACTTGAGACGTTATTGACTTCCAGCTGTTTGGTGAATTGATCTCGATCTATTATCCGTCATGTTTTTTACTTATAACCAAAGGCGCCTTGCCATTCTGATACTCTAACAGCTCCTGTCCACCGCTGTTATGCTTTGTTTCCATTAGTTGTCCTGGCCTGCCATGCTCTGCCAGGCTTGTTGTGTGGAGGGCTGCAGCATGTTTGCTTCAAGTGCCGGATAACTGGGACCATGCGGCCACTCGCAGTCGTGCTGGCAGCGTCTGTTTGACGTGTCGCGGTAGCCGAACAACTAACCAACCAAATAATCCATAGTTGCCCAGCCTGATTTAACCCTGTACCAGCCTGGTCTGTTGGTTTGTTTAGGCAGATCATCTCTGCCGTTAAGACTATTCTGTCCTGGCGTCAAAAAAAGAAACATGCCTTTATTCGAAGCTTTGGCCATTTGTTCCTGACCACCACTTTCATCAGGCCCAGCGATGTTAATAGACACCCTATTTTCGGCATAGGTTCGGTCATTCGCGTCTCGCGTTGCTGCAGTGCTCCCGATCACAAATCCTGTTGGTCGCTCACTTGCCTAGTTTGATCTGGAGACGATTATAGAGTCCTTACAGATGAAGGAAAGTCTGATTCGACGTGCCTGGTCCATCCTCTCATTTGAGTCCCCATGACAGGCAATTGTTTTGAATAGCTTTATTCCTCTCCAATGAGAGAAAAAGGTCCAGCTTCTTCTCGTTAACACTAATATGGTATTGGTTGTACTTGTGTCGCTGTTCGAGATGGCTTAAGAGTAAGTCCCATGTCATTTCCAAACATGTTAGAGAACTTCCTAACACAGTCATGGCGTTGACCAGGGCCCATGCCTTATTAAATCCCCGTGTTCATCGGTTTTCAAACGGTCTTGGTGGCTCCGATGGTTTGATTGGCGGAGTCAGAATCTGATGTTGAGGAGATGGTGACAGTGCTACTGGAGGAAGTATTGGAGTAGCAGCCTTAAATCTGTTCGAGCTGGCCGAATCGAAGGGCCGGGGCGGTGAATGCTTGGTTGGGGAAAGCCCAGCGATTGAAGGTATAGTTCCGTTCTGCTCATGAGCTGCTCGATATATCTCGCGGCTGATCTGAGGTGTGCTCAACGCCGACTCAGCTGTTTTATCCCCCTGGAAGCTGTCGATACCTTTCGAAGGACTAGGTGTCCGGAAAGACGTCATCGGAGTGGTCATAGGCGTACTGCCTGATGGGCTGCCCTGAATGCTAGCATCCAGCTTGACAGGTGCCGGGATCACCGGTGTCCCTTTGGGTGTGCCAAGCACCTCCTTACTCACCTCTGAACGGGCGTCCAGCATACTAATTGGGAAGCCAACGCCATTGACATTAGTACCAGGGGTGGAAGCAAATGGAGCCAAGCCATGTTCAACGCTGCCGTTAGATGCACCGTGGTCTCCATCCCCTGTCCCGTTGACCTTCTGAGCCTCCCCACTGAGAGACAATCCTAAGTGACTCGAAGAGCGAGATGGATCTGGCTGGGCGCCGGAGCTAGCTGGACGATTGAGCTTCAGCTTGATAGTTGGTCTGGGGCGTTTAGCTTCTTGTTCACGCCGAATACAAGAAGTACAGATATAGTGGAATTCCGGCTGGTCAGCAGCTGCTTCGCTCAGTCCAACACATTGACTATGCTGCCAGACATTGCATCTCTCGCAAGCTACGCTGTGAGCTCCATCGTCCACCTGGCCATAGAGACCACAAGTGCAGTCGAAAATCCAGTCCTCTTCCTCGTCCTCAAGCTCCTTCAGAGCTTGTTTGTTTCTCTCAATTTCAACTTGGAGACGTCGTTCAGAAACTCGTCCGCTGCTACTTGATAGGTTCTTGCTGTCTTCGGAGAGCTGCGCAAGTTCTTCCTCATGCTGGATGCGTCGTGCCTCGCGTTCTCGTAACCGTTGTTCACGAGACACTAGTCTTTTGTCGCGCTCCTCTTCCATTTTCATTTGCGCCAATTCTTCTCGTCGTTTGCTTGCTTCTTCTTCCCTTCGGTGTCGTTCTTCCTCCCGAATCTGTTCCTCCTGCCTCTGTTGTTCAACTTTCCCAGCGATTCGACTCGATCGTTTTGCATTCGCCATTTTGGCGGCGTTTGCTAGCTCTCGCTCTCGCTGTAACTCCCTGCGTTGCCGAGACTGTTCTTGATTTTCAAGGATAGGAACAAGATGTTTTTCTAGTTGGTCTCGTAGGACTTTCTCGTTCTCGTCACGCGTCTTCCGAAAACCATCCACAACAGATCGTACATCATCCAGGGTTACGGCAAGACATTCCCATCTCATTCCACCCAGGCTATCATCTTCGGCAGGCGTATCTTCCTTCATTTCTTGATCCGTGTCAGCCACTTCTTCTTCTTCTTCTTCTGCATTTATGGTCGTGCGTCGTCTTTTGCTCGAGCGCCGACTTCCATACAATGCTCTGGACTTCTTCGGTTTGGTGGGTTTCGTAATCATCGGAGGTTCTGTAAGCCGATACACTCGGTTATCATCCAGCACGAAGTAGGTTCTGTCATCTGCATCCCAACCATATGGTTCTATTCGCTGGAGGTCTGTTAGTAGATACCCTTTCCCCCCCTTTCTTCTGTTTTTCTTTCGAGATGTGTACTTACCCAACTCGTTTGCTCGCTATCTTTTTGCTCTTCCATCTTATCCCGAATGCGCTCAGGATGGATCATGGCCCATTGAGTCAGTTGTTGCATGACCTTGATCTATTCGGACAGTGTATGTTAGCTTGGGAGTACTGGCCGGGTCGCGCGTGTCCCTCATAACCCACCTTGGTAAAGATGTCGAAATCGTTGAATTTGAGGGGTGTTTCAGCAGAACCGAAGGGATTGAAGTTTGGCGATCTGTTCGAAAATTGTTTTCGTGCTTGGTCATCAAAAATTTCATGCCTTCGAATTACCATTAGCAAAAAAGACTATCTCCCAGTTCCTGGAAACGTACGTTAAACCACGATGCGACGAAACTAGTTTGAGGAGGGCGAGGGCGATGTCTGCCAAGATGCTCGAGTTCGGCTTAAGGCATTCCGTCTCAATTTCCTATCAAATGTGTTAGTCTGTGTGCGTATCGCATTATTGCAGTGCTGGGCTGCTCTGTGGCCATACCTCGACATCAATAGCTTCGTCGATTTTCGCAGCCTTGCCGAATATGTATATCCACTGGCAAAGGTTCGCAAACTGCCACATATTACGGATGCGATGCTGTAGCGAGTGTTCTTTCTCACCATCGTCGCCATCGATGGCCGCAAGCGAGCGCTTGCGTGACGGCATGGTAGAAAAAAAGTTGATGATGTCGATGTCAGGATGCTAGCCAGTCGCGTCACAATTGTCAGAAGCGTGTTTAGGCGTTTCGGGGTCGCGAGAAGCTGGGATCAGCTGTGGCGTAGTCAGCCACAAGCACATGCCACGAGCTTACGACCTCCGTTTTCCAGGGGATGAAACTCTCCACACTGTAGCAGAAACTTGTTCTATAAAAAGCACACGGCAATTCATTGCACTCTGCCCAAGAAGCCGTTGTGTGTACAGTGCGTAATTGGGAGCTTACTGTCACATCCAGCCGTCCTACGGTATCTTAGGACTCCTGATTAGGATGCAACTAACTGGCTACCTCTTCGCTTCTACGAATACCTTGTTCACGCCCCTCTGTCTTTTTACATGAAGCGTTAACGATGCTTCATTTTGGGAGTAGTACCAATAATCACCATTTTCCATGACATTGGACCGCATTGGCGGCCATTAGTCCTGTCGTTGGTCTATGTCTTCACACTCTTGGGATCAAGACGGGCGCCCTGCGCGGCGCCTGTCTATCCCGCTCCAGAATTTAGATGGATCGCATCTTGATAATCAACAGACGCAAGCTGGTCTTTCACGGCAGCAACCGAGCTCTGTTTCTCCGCCCGATGTTCCTCAAATGTCTGCCAATCTTCCAGGTATCTCAACATATTGGGACCAACCCTACGATCGTTTCGACGACGATGTTAGCCCAGGGTCACCTATAGATCCAATGGCTCTACAGGCTGCGCTCCCTCCGGGTATGGATCACCATCAGCCAAGTCCTCCAATGCCTTCTACACCGGTCCGTACCTACGACCCGCCTGCTCCCTATGTCGAAGATGCGCCGAGTACCGATTACGCCGAGTCCGATCGAGTTCCGTTGACAGCTGGAGTCGAGCCTATCTCTGGTTCTTTATCTGCCAGCAATCTGGACGACCGAAATCGAGACAGCTTTCAAACCATTTCAAG